GGCGGCCACAGTCTCCAGTAAGGAGTCCAGACTCCGCAGCGCGGTCCCCGGGCCGGGTCTGGTCCTGCCCCCGCTCCAGCCTGCCTCCTGCCCCTGCCCTGGCGCCAGCCCCCCGCCCCCCATGCCACTCTCGCCAGATTGTATTCCTGGGTCTGGACGAGCCACCAATGCGCTTCCTCGGGCAGGAGGTCCCTGGTTCTGCCAACAACCTCCGATGCCAGAAGCGACGGACTCTCCTGAAGTCACAAAACTCCGAAATGACGAGCCTTAACAAACACCCTGCTTCAGTCCAAGCAGGCGGCGAGGCCCCGTTTCCCAGGGAAGACAGACGGCGCAGTGCGGGCGGCAGGGACCGGAGCTCCCAGTGGCTGCCGTGGAGTTTATAGAAGGGAGTGTGATCGCCCCGCAGGGGTCGCGGAGCTCCGTGAGGAGCAGAATAAGATGAAAACCCCCCTTGCTCCCACCAGCTGGAATAGCAGCGGGTGTTCCCTGTGCTCATTCCCCTAAAGCCCTGGACGCCCACAGCTCGGGGTGCTCTCTGGAATACTGCTCATGCGATGCTCACGTACTGAAGAGACCATGGCTAGAACGGGTTTAGAAATCAGAGTTAAGGGTTAATATTTTTTTTGTAACAACAGAACTCTCATAGCTTCTGATATGCTAATGAGCACTGGGTGGCGAGGGTGTAATGGTCTCATTTTCTAAACTAATGGGATTTTTCAAAAGAGGCAACTTGAAGGAACCTACTTTGGGAAATGTTCTCCGACGTGGACATACTTCCAGGCGAATCAGGTTCCCTGCCTGAGCCGCTGGAGCTGGGACTGCGCTTTGGTGCACAGCGCGGTGATGGAGGGAAGGCTTGTTTAGGGCACGCACCCGGGCTTCCTACTCGAGTCAGCACCCCTCCCCGGCTCCTCAAGCAAACAGTGGGCATTGGCGGCTTCCCAGTGCACACCCGGGGCCCGAGACCTCTGATTCCCACTCGGGGCTCCCCAAACCCCCTTTCTGGAAAGGACCTGATAGCGCTGAAGCTGTTTCTGCTGCAATGGTGACCCCTTGTGGTCAAGACGGGAAACACACCGGACAGCGGCACCCACCTTCCCTCCGCTCTGCTGAGCAGCCCTGGTCTCCAGGGCACTGAAGTCAGGTGACAAGAGTTAACCTTCCTGTCCACAGCTTGGCTGCTGCCTCTGGCCTCCATGGTCTTCCCTGGCTGCTGGGAGCAGGGTCCACGCCCACCCCTCAGAACCTCCTCCCTGTAGTGCTCCAGCCCCCAGCACCGCCCTCCCTCCCTCCCGGATATCAAATTCCCGCTCCTTCCGTGCGTGGCTCCCTGGTTTACAGAGCGTGTTCAGAGGTATCCCACACGGGCTCTCCTTTGCCCTCCTCACAGCCTTCGGGGAGGGCGACAGAACAAGACTGGGCGGGACTATAGCAGGTGGAGGGTCAGGACCCCGCCCCTGTGTGCTGATCCCAGCTTCCCCGCCCTCCCTGCCGGCTCAGCCAAAGGAAGCAGTCTCTAACGTGGGGACTTCTGTCTTCCGGGGCAGGGGAGCCCTGCTCTGCCGTCCACCGTGGACTGAAATGCTTATGTGAGAAACGGGTTTCGTCTGGCCCCGCAGGAAGCAGCCGGGACAGGCTCTGCACGGCTCTGAGGCAGGAACGCCACCCCCCGCAGCCCGGCACCAGGTGCCGCTCCTGTTGGGATCCCGCTAGCCCACTCCTCCCTGTCACTCCCAGGTCCCCAGTCTGACTGGCAGGTGAAGCTTTTCAGAAGCGGGCAAGCGCACTTCCCTTAACCTCCTCGTGTCCTCGGCTCTCCCCTTGGGGGTTACGAAAGAAGAATGAAGTTCTGGCTTCTGACAACCAGAGGATCTTTTCTGTTGGAGGCAGGAGAACTGTGAATGGGGTGCCCGTTTGGGGCGTGCCTCAGAAGGAGCAGGTTGGCTCTCAGGCTCAGGCAGCTCCCCTCCCTCCCGGTGCACAGTGCTGTCCCCGTGCTTCTCCCGAGCATGCTCCCTGCT